TTTTTTTCTCGTCCAAGTTAAGTGTCAGTGGGGCGGGTTAAGCGGTAGATCCGCACTGACCCAATCCCTATTAAGTTAGGGTAGATTGTCAATGGGTCGGGTCTATCCAATGGATCTGAGCTGAATAGACTGAACGGATTATAACGGTTCTGGTTTGACGATTTTGTCCTTGGTTCTTGCCTGTTTCAAATATATATATATATATATATATATATATATATATATATATCTTATTTTTCTTAAAAATTTTATCATGTTTTATGTTCGAAGTGATAAATTTAATAGATAATATTAATTAACAAGATTTAATAATTTAGTCACATATAAATAATTTAGTACTTTCCTATCATTTTATTAAGGCTGTAATATCGAAATTTAAATGTTAAGTTATTATTTAAATGAATAAACGTGGCTTTTAGTATAATCGGGTCTGGACCCGATAAGCCCAATTATTAATTAGTATAATCGGGTATGTGATTTTGTCATGACTCACGATTAATGATCGTTTGGAATTAGTTCTACTTAAACCTGACCCGTTGGCAATCCTAAGTTATGATTAAATTGGATTTTTTTGAGATTTTGGGTTGAGGTGAAGTTGTGCTCAACTCAGTATGTATTTATGTATGTATTGTGGTTTTTAAAACTGGATTGGATTGGACGGTCGAATTGGAAAAACTGGTAACCAGTCAGCCCCTGGGTCCGATTATAATAAAAATTGGAAATTTGTAAAAAACATTGAAAAAGTCAAAAAACCACTTACCTGAGTGATCGGACCGCTAAACCGTTCGACCCGGGCAGCATTTCACAAGTTATCCTTTTTTATTTTCACAGTTTTAATTAAAAAAAAAAACAAAAAATAAAATGACTTGAATCCCCAAATCAAAATCGAATGCTCAAGGCCCTTTAGGGTTAGAACCTCATTTTTGTTCTAACCCTTCCCTCCTCTCAACTCTCACACCCAACCGACCACCTGTGGCGGCCAATACCTCTAGCGTCCGACAACGACACCAATGGCGATTGACAACTACCGGCGACGGCGAGTTTGCAGTACATCTAGAGTTTCAGGCTCCAATAGTAAGAGTTGCGGCAAGCGAGTTTGTAGCGGCAGACGACAAGTTTGTAGCGACAAATGGCGAGTTTGCAACAAACAACATCTCTCACAAGTCACAACCCAAACTCGTGAATTTGTCTCTTTTTTTTTCTTTTGGAAAGCACAGACCAAGCTGGGTGAGTTTCGGTTTAAGCGCCTTGCTAAGAAAAAAGACAAAATTGGTTAGTGAGTTTGTCTTCTTTCACTTGTCTTCTTTAGCTTGCTCCGGTTTGTCTCTTCAGGCTACTTGTCTTGTTGCACAATCTTTGTTCTTAATAAATCAATTTCCTCCTCAAAGGGGTCTTTCATTTCACGAATGAAGAATCTTCAGCCAAACATCTCTCACAACCCCAAATCATGGTTTTTTTGCACTAATTTTTACATATAGATTTAAGGGTTTATTTCAAGCTATTTTTTTTTGTATTTTTTGTGTTTTTTCTATATTTTTAGAATTTTTCTGTATTTTATGTTTATATTTCTATATATTATATATTGTATTATTTTTTTTATTTAGATAGTTTATTTTTCTGTATTTTTTCTGTTTTCTATTTAATTTTATGTTATTTTTATTATTTATAAATATATATTTTTATTTTTAATTTATTTATGACATCATGGGCTGAACCATTCAATCTAGATGGTTGAACTGCTTAATCAGAAACCAAGGGTGTAAACGGTATTCGAAAATCCGATTCCGAATTCATGATTCGGCATAATCGAATCGGATTCAGATAATTCGAATATCTAATCGGTCGAACTCAGATATCCTATTCATACCGAATAACTAATCAGATTCGAATTCGAATATGACCTGATTCGATTCGAAAAATATCTGAATTCAATCGATTATTTAATTCTTATATATAATATATAAAATTTTTAAATGTTTTATATAATTTATATATATATATATATAATAGTTAAATTATATAAATAATTTATATATTTATATACTTTATATAAATAAAATATTTATTTTATATATTTATTAATTACCTAAAATAATTAATTAATCGAATCTGAATATTTAATCGGATTCGAAATCGGATATTAATTTTCAATAGCTGTCAAATATCAAATCGAATTCGAATATTGCCTGATCCAATTCGAATTTGATCTATTTACACCCCTACCGAAAACTGATCCCCTGACCGATTCTGTTTCTGGTTCGTTTTTAAAAACCATAGTATGTATGTATACAAGTTTGGTCGAATACAAGTATGCATGCGAAATAGAATGAGTTGGGTCGGATTCAATGTTCCTTCTCTTTCGGATTGGTGGTTTGGATTGAGGTTGCAACTTGGGTTTGGCTTGGGTTATACCCATACTGACCCCAACCCATTGACATCCCTATTATGGGCGACCGATCAGTTATCCATTTGACTGTATATTCTTATAACACTTATCTTGCCAACTCTACTGTTCGTTTATCAACCACTACCATCACAAGGGATAGAAGGGGAAAATTTTCCCTCTTTATGGGGCTACACAATGGAGGCATTCCAACCTCCATCCCCTTAACCTCCTGATCCTGATAGCAGCGAGATTTGATCCCAGGTCTTGAAAGGGGCGGGGGGTGGTCAATGGGATTAATTGTGGTTCCTATTGACTAACTTATAAATGTTATTATTTCAAAAACATTGAGACTCATAGCAAAATTGATTTTTGTGGATATCAGTTGCTTGAATAAGTGATACCCTTCTTAGGCTTGGATAAATGTGTTTCCCAATTATAGGCTAAAAGAAAAAAAAAAGTAAAAATGCCCCCCACAAGATATATTTACTTGGATAAATTAAACAAAAAAATAATATAGATAAATGACTTACTCGGGAAAGTAGGTTCTTGTAAAACAAACAAAGCATTAGAGGGTGTTATACAACATCAATGCTTTTAATTGCTTCGTTTTATTTGTTTGTTTTTTATAAACTCAGTTTGAAAATATATACAATACAAATATACACAAATTAGTACAAAATACAAGGTTTTGCACTCTGCATAATTTTATTTGTATTCCTTTGAAACTGAGCCAAAGGAACAAAGATGATAGAAGTAATACGGTAATCTAAAGAGGGGTTGTTGATATAGCAAGCCTGTACCCCCTCATGCACACATTTGTTTTCATTTGTGTTTGAAATTGCAACATAAAAAACACTATTGAAATGTGTTTTTTATTTTGAAAAAAAAGTTGGTTTTACTTTTATTTCCATTAAAATAATTATATGAAAACATGTTATTTAAACCATAAATTCAATAACATGTTTTAAATATATATATATATATATATATATATATATATATAACATATTTTTTTTTTGTTTTTAAACCAAATGGTATTGTTTTGTTTGTAGAAGTTAGCAACAAGAAAAATAACTCATACCCCAAAACACCCCCTATTGATTAATAATTTATGGGGTGTTTGTCAATATGTATGATTTTATTATTCAAAATAAAAATAAGAAATTAATATAAGGGTATCTATATACTTTCGGGGGTACGTAGTAACACTGGCTTCAATTTTAACTTGCGACAAATGAAGTACCCTTTATTTTCAGAAATCAACACTCAAGTTCAATTGTCATGGATTCTCAGGCATATCACCAAAAATACAAAAAAAAGTTCAATTGTCAGCATTCTGTCACTTATGTGGAATAAGGTATGTCATGTGCACCTTGAAACACTTGAAAAATCCCAAAACTATCCTTTTATATGTTTCAAGAGAATGTTTTGTCATCACGCATTTATTTGTGCATTAAACATGTACATTTTTGTCATTTTGTAATATCATTTTTCTCATCTATTGAAATCAGGAATGGACATTTTTATAAATTTACCACTCATCTTAAGTTCTTAACGCCAATTAAGGGACTTAGACTTGGTGTAGATGCACAGAATACGCCATTGTTACATTGTTACAAGTGAAAGTTGGGGAGTGTCACTTCCCAAAAGTACAAGGTAATTTTCCCTATAAAAACCAATAAGATCTCCATTAAACATTTGTTGTAAAATTTCTGACCAGTCAACTAAAATTATAAACGTTGTAGCCAATCAAATCAGATGTTATTTATCAAAATGGATGGGTGGGGTACCATACATTTTACTTAAAATAATTGTTTAGTTTAAGAACTTTCTTGAACTTTTCTGTTTCTCTTATTTCATATCAAACGAAACATAGCCTCGGTGGCTCGGTGTTCAAGATCCAAATCAGACTTATCAGATTGAGTATTCCGTCCGTGACTCGGCGCAAAATACAGTTAGATTCTCTCTCTATAATATATACAAGGAAGACGTGTGGAGGTAGCCTGCCTTGCGCCCTTGCCCTGCTAAGTCGTCACAGATAATGGTCTTAGCGTTGACTGTTGACCTGCTACACTCGACGGGTTGACCTTGGTTCGGGTTTCTTAACAGAGAAACCCACTACTTTACTCTTCTAAAAGTGATTAGAGCGAGAGGAAGAATCAGAATCAAGAAGCTAGATCACGAGATCGGGTGACTGGATGATGCCCAATTTTGCTAGATAGGGACTTCCAAGTGGGGTCCATTCTTCCGTTAATCACAAACTCCCAACCCTCGATCTTGACGTTTAGGCCGGTTAAAAAGTGTAACATACATCGCCCCAAATAATTGTCCTATACACCCTACTATTCTTATTGTTATGACCATAAGGCCCCGGGAGTCGGACCAGGACCAAACGATTCAATAATCCATATACATGTAGGAGACGGTAGGTCGATTGTGTGACGGTCGAGAAAATACTTGGTTTACGCCGTCAGTGCTGATTATTCTGGCGCTCCTTGTCGCACCTCACTGAACAATGGCCAAAGCGAACCACTAGGGCGAGGGTGAGCCATTTATTAGTCGAGCCAAGCCGCGCCCGAGCGCGGGAACGGAGACTAGTGGGGCCGCAGAAAAGCATTAACGGTTCCGAGAAACCACGCTCTGATTTTTCTCTCTACTCCTTCGCTCTCTCTACCCTTTGCCGAGCGAAGCGGATAAAACGAAACCAGCTTTTTCTCTCCTTCTGACCTTAAAAAAACCAGTTTTCTTCCTCAATACTGTCTCTTCGCCCACCATTATTTATTTATCCATGGACTCTCTGTAGTTTTTCTTTACCGTGGCTCCTCCCTTTCCTCCGGTTCTTCTATTGCCTTTTTTTTCTTCCTTTTGCGAGAAGCATTGGTGATGTTGCAGGTACTACTTTTCATCGATTTATTTCGTTTCGATTTCTAGGGTTTCTTTTTGAATCCGAGTAAGTAATCAGAAAGCTTCCTTAATTTTATTTGTTTTCCCTACGCCTCATCAGTACTTTATTCTTTTAGTGGTCTTTGTTTAATCTCTTAATCTATGCATGGATAAGACTTGCACTTTTCTGTACAAAATTTGGGGTTAAGATCTTATTTGAACAAGTTTTGCTTTGTTCCCCTGTTATTTTATTTTTTTTTCGTTCAAACGTGGAGTTCTGAATATTGGACTATTTCTAACTTCCAAGTAACTCGGAAGCAGGAAATTTTGTTAATGATTACTTTGCTCTTTCTTTCTATTGATTTTAGAACTTGTCTTTTTTCCCCCGAGCCGCGTATAAGTTAATAATAAGTGCGAAACCGGTTGTTAGATTTGAACTCCTGTTTAATTTTATGGCATAAATTTAGCAATTGATGGGACTTGAACATTGATTACTTCTTACCCGAAAAAGAAAAAGAATATTGATTACCATATTGGTGAAAGGCGAGAAGATTGCGCCTTTCTTTATCACTTAAATTGATGTTTATACGTAATTGGTTTTGTACTTTTGTTAGTGGACTTGTCCTTAAAACATGATACTTATGTTGGCCAATGGGGTTACTACTTTATTAGAGAGAAAAGAAATTCATGTGAACGTGCAGTATGCTTGGATGTCAAACTTGCATGGAAGCATTCAAAATAATAAATATACTGAATTCCAAAGACATACGCATTCCCATTGTTGGACTGGGAGTGCTTATTATGTGAATATCACTTCCTTTAATTTCTAACTCCACACAGGAGTTCCATATTTACTAACCTTAAGCTGCTAACTCTAAAAGTTATTTTATTAATATAATGGATTTGACTAATCCAACAATGGTTGGAACTGAGTTCAACATATTTAACAGGAAACTGGTTTGATAAACGTTCTGCTTTTTAGAGCATTCGCTTTTTTCCCTTTTATTCTTTTAGCACAGTAATTTTTTAAACTTATCCATGAAAATTCAGAAATTTATTTTCTGTAAGATTTGTTTTATGGGTCAATGTCGCTGCTAATTTTGAGATATGTGTAAGAGAGATTTACACATGTAATGAGAGTTATTAACTTGAACAATTGAACCAACGCTTTTTTTTTTTATATATATTTCACAATATCATAATAAGATAGTGCTATGACTTTTAAGCCTTATACAAATGTAATATGGATCTTCATATTTGGATGTCACATTTTTCCCTTTTAAGCTGATAATACTTTTCTCTGAAGTAGATACATATATCTCTATTAGAGCCTAAAAACTCATGGAAAATCAATTTACAATCAAGTTAGTGGGTAATAGCAAGTTAATCACATTTTTAGCATTGGTGTGAATATAAAGAGCTGGCATGGTTGAAATGGACATGGATATGGGTGTCAGTATTCGGTGCATGTCGAGCAATTAGGACTCATCAAATAGAAAAATTGTAGACTTGTGATTTACACACATATATTAGAGAATAATGTGAAAGAAGTAAGAAATCAAAAGTAATGTTATTGCCTAACTTCAATCTCATGCAAAAATTAGCATAGTTTAAGGATATGCTTGCATATTTTAATATTAGTGTTTTATGTAACTTGGTAGCTGGTCTAGCCTGATGTCTTGAGGTGCTTGGCATATTCACTTTGTACTATATTCATAGTAATCATGGTTGCAGAAAATAACATGCCAAATTGCATCTGCCATATAATTTATGCTCCCTGTTACGGCCTCTAGTTGTACAGGGTATTCTATTTTCTCTTTAATGAAAACCAGACTTTACCTCTTTCAAATAAATAAATAACTAACATGCCAACATCTAGATTATACAATGGAGTTTTGATATAGTACAGTTCTTATGCAGGCATAGTGGAATATCTAAAATTATATAACAGATAATTTATGCTCTGTAGTCAAAAGGTCAATGTGTGGCATAAGATATTTTCATTTACTTTCACTTGAACGGACAGGTATGGAGTCAGACATCCTCAGGCAAGAGTCTGTTTTACTACTACAGTTTCTTAGGGTACTGGTGTGTGGTCACTTTTTTTCCCCTTTTCAAAGTAACTTTCTTTTTTTTTGGATAAGTGTTTTCTAAGTAACTTTCTCAGACCACAGGTATTAGAAAGGTTGTGTTTGTTGGAGTTAAAAGTTTGTGAAGTCTTAAAGGTACAACACCACAACGTGGAAAAAATATTTATTTGCTATACTCATTTATTGGGTTAGTGGTTGGGGATATGCTCAACGTGCATTTCCATGTTACTGAGGTCAGACTTTAAATATTAAACGGTAAATCTGCATATTGCTTTGTATAATTAAAGATCAACCTTGAGTTATTATCCAGTGGGTCTGGAACATGGTTAAAATTGTCAAGTGTTGACCAAGATAAAGAATGAATGTTCATACACACACACACAAACACATACAATATACAGATGCATTCGTCTACATGTTCTTGCATACAAATTTTTATGCTACTTTTGTTGAATCAGTGTAGTGCATCACATTTCTATACTATAGTGCTATGAATTAGTTACATCCATTGTCTCCATTGCATTTTTGTTGCAAATATTTGGATTACATCTCAATATCTGAAGCATCTATTAAAAACAGTATTTATTTTGCCTAGATTATTCATTTTATTGAGATTCTGAAATTAAAGTACATTGTGACTGTTTGATTCTATAAATCATACATAATATGTAAATATACTTACTGAGTTAAGATCCAAGCAGATAATGACGATATGCTTTGTCAATGAAGGTCTCCGGTTTGCACATTATTTGATGAAAAATTTCCTCAACATTGACCAGGAAGATATCCCGTGCCATTATATGAAACTCTGTCAGTAATATCTCTTAAATATTGCCCACAGCATGGCAGCTGGACAGCAGAAAAAGCGATTGAATGCTTCCAGTGTCATAAGTTGCAACTTGCAGGATCAGTATAGAGAGAAAAAGAAGAAGAATTTGGAATCACCACCTAATGTATTGAATATGAGATCTCATATTTCACTTGAGTGGGATAACATCCAAAAGAGAGCTGTTGCCAAAAAGGAACAGATTGGGATATCTTGGAGGGACTTGTCTCCATTTCCTGATTTTGTTCCTCATCGTCACACGGGTTTAGCAGATGTTTTTGCTATTCCCTGGGAGATTTTTGGGTTGGAAAACATGACTGGGGTACTTTCTTATGAGGTAACAATAAGTTGATGTTTATGCTTCTGTAATATATTTGCATCTATGCATATTTTTGTGGAATATTTTGAGGGATGTCCCATGTTATCTATATCTTTAGGTTTGGGAGACACTTCTATCAGAAAAGGAGAGAGATTTTCTTATTCAGTTTCTTCCCAGTGGGACAGATGCTGAACAAGTTGTGCAAGCATTACTCTTGGGGGAAAACTTTCATTTTGGAAATCCATTCCTTAAGTGGTAAGTTTTGATATATCTATTTCCAAAACTTAATGACAGAGCTCTTTTCATGTTTTTTTATTGTCATTTATTTATAGAATTATGATGGAAAAGTAGAGGTTTAAATCGTGTTGTGTGCATTAAAGAGGAAGATCAAAAAGTCTTGATGGTGATGCTTATAGGATGATGACGATGTCCTATTACAGTGGAGGACTTCCTAATTATGAAAAAGCTGCAATTAATTTGGTGGTGTTTGTTTATCATAAAGACTGATATACTATTTCATGGCACAGAAGTTTCATGCAAGTATTTTTTTGACTTGTATATTTTTTTCTTCTTAAATGTTAGGCATTTTTAGCTGTAATCTACAACTAGTGACAGTCCTGAAATTTTGGACATGACTTCCAGTGTAATACCTTTTGGGGAAATTTCATAAATTTTGTTCAAGAATATGAAAAATCTGAAAAGATTTGGAAAAATTAAAATATTAGAAGAAACACAAAATTTATATATGAAATTTCAGGAAATGTTGAAAGAGGTGTATAATTACACACTCAAAATGTTTAGAAAAACACTATCTACAAAAAACAATAGAATTGGCATTGATTAGAAAATCTAATTTATTATATGGCAGGTATACTTATAAATACTTGATTATTTAACTATTTTTTTAAAAAGTTCTGCAGTCTAGAAAGCCCAGTAAGCATTGCTGATCCAAAGGTCCATAATCAACAATTCCAAGTAAATTTTTCTTTAATTTATGCAAAAAACGTGCTTTGGGTGTTTTCTATGCCTCATAATTGTTGCCTATTGATTTTGGCAAAATTGATGAAATTTCCTTGGCTGTGTTTGATTTGAAAGAAAAGGTAGAGAAAGGAAGGGGAAGGTAGGGAATCCTGTCAGCCTTAACGTTTCATCTGAACTTGGAATATTGTATTTAATAGAAAATTTGACTGGTATGCCCAAAGTTTTTGAAATATTGGGGAAATATCGAGAGACATTTGGATTTTTTTTTTGGTTCCAAGGGTTTATATTTTGCCTCTTAGGGGAAGATCATGCTCTGTTTCAGGGAAATTGTGAACCAGGGTACAGATTGGGATATCTTCATGTTAAGCCTAGTCCCTATTACCTAACTTGCTTATACTTTTACAAACACCATTAATTGGTTATGACATTGTAGTCTTGCTGTCTACTTCCACTATTAGATTCCTTATATTCATCATTTTACTCATTCTAAATCCCTGCACCACAGCTAGCAATTTGGTCATATTAGAATAACCAATCACTATAGGCCCTGAAAAAAGTGCTGGAATTGTTTCACAGCTATCTTTGAGCACACATCCTATGCCTGAATTGCCCAATTTCCCTAGATACATCTGTCAAAGTCAAGTTTAGCTTGATTCATAGCTGGTGGGATCCATTTGACAATGATATTGGGCCTTGAGCTTGTAGAGTGGGCTACAATCCACCATCTACAAAGAGTAGCTCCCTTGGGAAAGGGTTCAAAGATCTTTAGTGTCTTGATCCAATACACCACTTTTATTGATATGTTCTCAATAACTTTCTTTTTCTAGGTAGCTTCTTCATATTGAATATTCTTGCTTTCCATTCTTCCCAAAGAGACCAGAGACCAAAGGATGATGATGGCTTTAGTGCCCTTCCATGCAATCTTTCCTCCTTTYTTGGTTGGTTATAGAAGTCTTGAATAAGCTTTGGGGACCACCTGCCACCAAAAAGAGTAGAAAACAATTCCAAAATTGTACTATTTTTGGATTTGACTTGGAAGTGGAGAAGATTGAAACGTGGGGCTGTGGGCAACCCTTGAATGGGGGAAAAGAGAGGGTATTGGGAATGAGAAGGGTAAACGACAGACTATTCTTGTTTATGTTCCACAACAAGGAAATGGCGGAGAAGATCCTGGACTTAGAATCAAGGATGGAAAGGGAGTTTGACCTTCGACTTGGCTAGTGGTACCTGATGGCAAGCACATTAACAGAACAGAGAAGAAAAAGGGCAGTGTGGGTTGATGTTTTTGGAATTATTGTTGTCAAAATCTTTCAATTTACTATATGATTCACGATTTGAATCACGAATCCCAAGGGTTTCGATTCAAATCTTATGTCTGAATCCTATTCTGCAAAAACCTTACGTTTTTTGTTTGAATACTAGAATTTGATTCATAAATCTTATGATTCACTACAATTCAAATAAATTTAATTAAGAATTAGTTCTCTACTTTGTTATGTTTTTGTTTATATTTAGTTTTGCTAAGGGGGACTTTTTTTTTTTAAATTCTATTATCTTAGGTACATATATGGTATACATAGATTAAAATAGGGTTCCTATATATATATATATTTAGCTTTTTAATATATCTATAATTCGTTTTTTGACAAGTTAATAAAAAATAGAAATAATCTTATGATTTATGATATGATTCACGATTTGGTTCAATTCAACTCTCTACAATTTACGATAGATTACAATTTTCAAAACATTGGTTGGAATCCCACTGCATGGATAGAGTATTCTTACCTTTGAGGCATCAGAGATCATCATGGCAAGTTGCTGAAGTTCGACGGCAGGAATAGATCCTGGGATAAATCGGACTTGGCGAGACTATTGGTAGAGGTGGAGGATATTTCAAGTATACCAAGCAAATTGAACTTGCTATTTTTAGGGGAGAAATATGAACTGAGGCTAGTTGTGGAGGGAGAAGATGCTACATTCCTGCGAAATGCACAAGCAAATACGAGGAAAGAGGTGGGGAAACACAGATGGGAGATGATTGAGAGAGGCAGAGGACTGTTACAGAAGCAGGGATGATGAAAAGTCAAGAACAGGTGGAGGTTGAGATTTGAAAGGGCAAAAGCAGAAATTGGGGGTGGGGTGGGAGGAAAGGGTGATGGATGGGGGGAAGGGGTATACGAGGAGACAAGAGAGTTGGAGCATAGGAGATGGTGGTCAGTTGAATAAATGGAATGGGGCCCACAATGAGAAAGGAAGATGAAGGTATATTAGAAAAGAAAATAGTTCGATGGGGTTAAGGGTTACAAAAAGTAGGGGTAAATTTGGAAATAGGAAAATAGAGGGAGATTGAGGATTACAAAGGAGTTGAAGAAAGACTGGGTCTGGGTGGTGACAAGGTTTGAAGCATAAAAGGTCTCATTGGTGCTGAGTGTGGGAAGATGAACTGAGAGGATCATGAGGAATTGCACCCCGATCTAGGAAATAGCAAAGGGAAGAGTATGGTGGGGCGGGACTAACAAGGATAGGAGCAGGAAAGCTTAAAGGAGGATGGCCTGGTGTTGGAAGTGTGTACAACGACGATGCAGGCATGCCAAACTCAGGAAGAAGGTCGGTCTCCAAGACTTTTTGAGATCAAAACAGAGGGGAAGGAGGAAGGAACAGTCGAGAACGAAAAAGAAGTCATTTTAAGAAAAAAGTGACAGTCAGTGGGTCCTGTATTGATGAGGTAACTCCAATTATTTCTCATTTCTGACACATTAGCTGAGTTAAGAAGAGAAGAGGAGGAGGGGAGGTAAGGGAAGGAGAAGAAGAGGAGAGGGGAGGAGGGGGGAAGAGAAAGAGGCAGATGGGAAGGAAGGGGGTAGGGTTTATAACAGGAGAAGAAAGTTGTTAATGGCTTTCTTGGGAAAAGAAGGGGGAGGAGGGAGGTGCAAGAGAAGTAGAGGAGATAGGGGAAGAGGAGGAGTGTGGGAAAGAATTAGAGGAAAGGGGGAAGGAGGTTCAAGACAGTGTAGAAGTGATGCATAATGGGGAAGTGGAATAAACTGGTGGAAATTGAGGTTATGGTTGGAAAATCTTTTGGATTGTTCTTCTGGGGTGGGGAAGGATTTGTGAGGATTGCTTTTGAACAATTTGTAAAGAAGAAAAGAGAAGAGAAAAAAAGAAGAAAAGAATTGGAGAAGGATAAGGGCTGGGGTGAAGAAGGTTGAGAAGAGGTTTGAGGGTGTGAAGTTGTGAGACAGGGCAGGAGTAAGGGGGTAGGGAGGATGAGGATGAGGCCATTAAGTTGGATTATAAGAGGACTGAGGAAAGGAAGAAGAAGGGCATTGGTTAAAATCTGATTAGAATTCACAAACTAGAGGTGCTTCTGTTACAGGATGCGAAATTGGAGAACTGTGATATGAGGTTGAAGATCGAGATATGGGGAGAAAATTTGGACTGGGTTTCAGTTCTTCTAGAATTTGAGCAAGTTGTTGGAAAGCTTTTGGAGTGTCCTTGTATTGCAAGCTTGTATTGTTGATCTTTTCCATTTTGTCTAGTTATATGGGTGTGTCATCTTGACAACCATTAGTATTGTAACGTTTCCCTTTTTTATTTTAATAAAATTTTCTCTTTATTCTTCAAGAAAAAAAAGAACCTGTACCATTCTTTCTGAGATAGCCTATAATTGTAACGTTTCCCTTTTTTATTTTAATAAAATTTTCTCTTTATTCTTCAAGAAAAAAAAGAACCTGTACCATTCTTTCTGAGATAGCCTATAAGTGTAAGATTCCCCTTCCACCACTAAATGTTTATAATTTAGAGATATAGCTTGTCTCAATGCTTGTGGATCTGCGAATGATTCTTCCTGTTAAATTACCAAAGCTAATGGGTCTGGAGAACAAACCAAGTTCAAGTATGTTTCCACCACAACTCCTAAACACTCTGCCTATGCCTGAAGAACCTGGATTCCTAAGCTGCACCCATTAAAGTTCAACTTGATGAATCCAGGGACAATAGGATTGTTGCTGATGATGATCTTGCTACAAATTGTCAATTTCTAGTGATGTCTTCTATGAAAGGAGTAAATGCTTCCATATATTTCATCCAACAAAATTTTATCTCCTTTCTTTGGTAGAAAGAAGGAAGATGAGCTAAAGATGCGGCATTGCTATTGATTGTGGCATGAAGAAGTATGTAGAAGTGCCGAAAAAGTGAATTTGGCTGTAGTTGGATCAGGTTTAGATTGGATCAAATACATCACATCCGATCTGATTATTAAACCTTTGGATCCAAATCCAACCCCAAATCTGATATGCCGGACTCTAATAGGATTCATAGTTAATCTGCATCCAACTTATTATGCTTAAAGTGACAAGAAAAATAATAAACTAATAACTTTTAACTATACATGAATAATAAATGTATATAATGCAAAATATCAAAATTATCAATTATAAACTTTATAATATCTATATACAGAGTATATCTATATATGGCATGTAAATTTAGTAATAACAGGAGTGTAAATCGGGATACACTTGTGATTGGAAACCAAGAGATAACTCAATGTGACCATTTCTGGTACCTTGGTTCAATAATTTGTAACAAGGGAGAGGATGAGGAGGATGCCACCTAGAGAATTAGAGTGGGTTGGGCAAAATGGACGGTGTGTCTGGACTTTTGTGTGATAGGAGAATACCATTTAGATTAAAAAGAAAATTCTATAAAACAGTTGTAAGGCCAGCTATGTTGTATGGAGCTGAGTGTTGGGCAGTCAAGAAACAACATATTCAGAAAATGGTTGTGGCAGAAATGCGAATGCTAAGATGGATGAGTGGAAAAACTAGAAAGGATAGGATCAGGAATGAAGCCATCTGTAGAAACCTAGGAGTAGCTCCAATAAGTGATAAAATGAGAGAGTAGGCTAAGATGGTTTGGTCATGTGCATAGAAGAGCACCAACAGCTCCAGTTAGAACTTAGAAGAAGTGATTTGTTACAAGTGGAAGGGGTTAGAAGAACTAGGGGTAGACCAAAAAGGACATGGGTAGAAGTAGTAAGAAGTGATTTAACACTAATAATTTAACTGTGGATATGGACCATATGGTTTTAAATAGATCGGATTGGTGAAACAGGATTCATGTAGCCAACCAACTCCATATAGTTGGGATAAGGCATGGATGATGATGATGATATACACACATTATTATCCTACATATAAACATAAAATAATAATTTTTTAATTGGACCGAATGGGGTTAAATCCGCATTGAGTTGATTATTAATCAGATGCAAGTTTTAACATCCAAATCCAAGATAATCGAATTCGGTGTTGAATTGGGTATCAGACTTTCAGAGTCCATTGACAGCCCTAAAAGTAACAGTGGAAAGGCATATCAAGTAATACAATAGAATGACGAAGAACTTCAAGGAGGGGCTGCAGCTCGCGCCTCTCGCTGGGATGTTGTATGAACTCACTCTAAATTTGCTTCTGAATTACTAAATTTATTATCATTCGTCAAAAAATAGAATGACCAAGAACATGAGTTGGATGAATTGATGATGGAACAATTGTATCTCTTTGTTCTATTACTATTGCTTCTTGTTTATTTTGCTTCTGCTTCTCCTAAAAAGGACAATACTCCATGCACTGTATGAATCTTCTCTAAGGTCTCCTGACAGTGACAGGTCTATGGGTGGTTGGTTGGGGTGTTAATATCAGTGTATTTTTTGTGCCCAAATGTAAAAACAAAATTTTTCATGCCAACTTGCAATTTACTTGTTTAGAACTTAAGAGATAATTATGAAGTGTGCAACTTGGGCAGGCTCAGATTGCAGTGTAAAATCAAGTCGGGTAACCATCTTGCACCTCTAATAACTAAAATGGATATAAACCTTTCACTGATATCTGAATTATGTGGAGTACCATATTTTGATGTGCTTTGTTTTTTTGAACATGTTATTGCAGGGGGTCCTCACTGTGTTCTGGTGATCTTCACCCAGATGCTATTCTTTGCCAGGAACAAAATTTCAAGACTAACAAGAAAGCTTACTACTCAGAGTTGCAAAAGTATCACAATGAGTATGTAATATTAAGTTAAGATACTGCTATTACTTAAAGATTTTATTTAGTGTTTACAAGGGATCATCTTGTGTGTGGTAATCTGGGACTGGGAGGAGAATTATAATGAGCAACTTGTGAGAAAATAGGGGTGATCAGCTATATGCTGTTTTCTTTGTATGCTACTACCTATGATTGTGGATAGTAGGGATTTTCCTATTCAAATCAATAACAGTTTTTTACTGTTCATTATTGAAAAAGGTTCATTTTAGTGTGCATGGTCGTAATCTCTTAAACCTCTTGTTGCAGTATTGTTCAGAATCTGCAGAAGTGGAAGGAGAGATGGGCAAGCAGCAAGGACCCTGAGAAGGATATTGTCCAGAAGATTTGGAGGTTGTTCTTCTTTATTGTTGTGTTTTTCAGAGAATGTGCCTACTTAAGTAGAAAGTATTCTTTACAATATATGGTCACTTTATGGGTCGTTCTGTGTTGAGTTTTGCACTGTGTACTACCACCTTCATTTTTTCTTGATACTAAATAAAAAATTTTATTAGAAGTACAAAAAAGAACAAAATACAGCTGAGATAATCACCAAGGTAAACAGAATCAAGAGATCCCAGTAAACACCCAATTTAGGCACCTATTAACAGTCACTACTCTCCCCACTGAACAGGAAAAATGTGAAAAACAACCAATGTTCCAACAAGAGCTGCATCTCAATCCCCAAAAGCCTTCTGGTTCAAGTTAATCAATCAAACAACCATTACACCTTCAACCACCCCATTAATATTCTCTAATTTCCTCATTGGAGTTTAGTAGTAGCTTTACCTTTCTCTAACTCTCATCTGACTCCAAGAAAATTTTCCTTGCCATTTTTTTATCAGTATTTTCCTTGCAAAACCTCTTCACCTCCTAAGAAGCCCAGCCTCCTACCAACCTCTACTTTTTTTTTTTTTTTTGAAAAGGTAAGGTAATTTATTAAATTAAGAACCAGTACAAAGGAGCCTAGGTCATTAGAGGCTGCCTAGAGCCACTACAAATTACAGATACAACCAGTTCTGAGATCTAAACAACATACTCAAATTCTGATTTTTAAACAACTCCGATGCCGACACCCAGGACAGAAGTTTACCCACAGCTATCTGCACCATTTCCTCTGAAG